TACCCACCCTCCCTCCCACCCGCACACAACACAAAAGGTGGAGGCCCTGAGGCCGATGTCGGCCGGCATCCTATCCGAGCGGCGAGCTGTACGACCATTCGGGTTGCTGGGCGGCCAACCCGGAGATCCCGGACTCAATCTGCTACTGCGCCGCGACGGCCGAATCGTCAACCTAGGTGAGCTGTAGCAGCAGCAGCAGCAGCAACTACAACAACAACGATAACACGCAACAGCCCGCCAGAAAGCCAGAACACAGATAGACAGACAAACAAACAAACAAACAGACAAACAAACAAACAGACAGACAGACAGACAGACAGACAGAGCTGATCGTGGGCATGACGTCATGGAGAGGGGGGAGGAGATTTGGGGACACTGTTAACCCCCCCTATTGGTCCGGACGTTAACGTCGTGGTGCATCTCTATCACACCCTGCCCCTTCTGTTGCTGAGGCGCGGACGTGCCTGGGAATCTCCAGTGCGCTATCTTTCGCACACCTGGTTTACCTTTGTATACGTACGTATGTATGCTGTTACAGGGTGGTATAGCTTCACCAGCGGCCCCCTTTCCCTTGGAGGCAGTTCCCTGCTCTCCCCTGCGAGAGGGGCACCCAAATCCGCTCACCCCATCCGACTTCAGAATGTATTTGTTCGGCGCCTCAACTTAGTTCCTGGTCAGCTCGCAAGCTGATATTATCACGTCCTACACCGTCCATAAGATGGGAGGCCACCTCCCATTTCAACACCTCTCACACACCCGAAAGATCGGCAGGCGGATTTGAAACCGGGTCGCCCGGGGACAGAAGCCAGGCCTTAACCTCTGCCAGCCACCTGCCTTATGTATGTATGTATGTAAACGGTGTGCTTGCGGCCCTATGTGTGTGTGTGTGTGTGTGCGCTCCCCGCTGCAGGCGCTAAGGCCACGGTGTACCTGGAGGCGGGAGACCAGCTGCGCATCGTGACGCCGGGCGGCGGGGGCTACGGGCCGCCCGGAGCGGACCTGGAGACGGCGGCGGCGCTGAAGCGGCGGCGTGTGGGCGGCGAGGGGGAGGGGGAGGGGGA